CATTATGACCAGCCTTCTTATTAGTCAATCACTTGTGAATTAACACCTTGTGATGACATGAAGATGTGAATGCAATAAAATCAAAATAAAATAGACATAGAACAAAAATGGGTTAGTGCACATAATATAAACAACAAAATAAGTACCATAAACATCAAATAAAACCTACCCTCACATGTTGGCTACCCAATCATGCTTTAGTAGATCCTACCCAACATGATATCTACCCCCATGCTTTGTTTGAACATTAAAACCCTAACCGCATGATATCTAATTCGCATGCTTGCTTGACAAATAAACCTAACCGCATGATATCTAGTTCACATGCATTTATTCGAAAAAACGAAAATGAATGCCTTAAAAAGCTTTTCCTTGTGTACCCTCCTCACGGGACTCTTAAGGGTCGGGTTTGGCTCGACCTAAGTTTGGGCTCTATGTTCACTATATGCTTGGTTCGGTTCTAAAGTAATAGGTTCTCGAATTGTCTTTGCCGGTGCCCCCTTGGGCTATCGAACCCTCAATCCTGGCCCATCACAGGCTTTAGGGGATCGAGTTCAATTTCAAGGGAACACACCCCCTTATGTCCATACGGAGGTGAATACCATCACAAGGACCATAAGGGGTGAGCTCCAGGAGCGATCCACTCTCCCATGCGGAGGTGAAAACCACACGAGGGCATAGTCTCTCACTCCTACTTAATTAGGATGGAGCGGGGTTTTAGCTCATATCATGAAAATGCATTTGTGCAGTGTGTGAGGAAAAGCGAAAAAACACATAATAAAAGAACTCAAAAATCAATTCTCAATTCACAAATAATCTGAAACCATTAGCAAACAGATCAGTACAACTATTTAATTGTTAATCGAATTAAATCAAAATACAAACAAAACTTATTAAAAAACCAAACAAGGGATAAAAAACCAAATTAAAACAAATTTATAACTTTCAATTGCAAAGACACTTAATTAATCAACTATCGACCTGACTCTCTAAGAAAAATCCCCAGCAGAGTCGCCAAGCTGTCGAAACGATTTTTCTTAAAAGGTGAAAAAAGGTGAGATTTTGAAAACCACATTAATTTTAAATTATCTCTTTTTAATTTAAAAAACAAATGGGATTTAAAAGACCTCTCGTTTCAAAAAAAAATTTGAATTTCTTTTACGATCGAAAAATACGGTTCAAAGAGTCGCCACCAATCTTTGATTAGGGTATGATTGGACATCCAAAAATGTTTTGTCATTTTAAATAAAAATTAATTTTAATTAAAACAACAAATTGAGGTCTACGTTACCAAAAAATGAGTTTGGGAATCAGTTACGTGTGGGGAAGGATTAGCACTCCCACAACGCCTTAAATCGGTACCTAGTCGATTAATTAACGTCTTTGCAATGAACTTTACAAATTCGAATTTATTTTGATTTTTGATCCCATAAAATAAAAATGTAAATTTAAAACATTCAAAAGCACTCAAATAAATTAAATTAAAATTACCAAATCGTTTTATAAAGATAAAGAATGTTCGATTATTTACAAATATCAAGACCAGATCTTAAAAGTTATAACAACCTTTTCTCGATAAATTTAAATAAACGAACATTTCCTTTTCTTTCGTTCCCAAATTTTAGAGTGATGAATCAATTTTTAGGCGTCACTAATGGGATACACTTTTATTTTAAAATCATTAAAAGCGGACCTCAAATCAGTTATGACTGCCCACTTAAAACAATTTTAAATTAAAAGGGTATTACCCTTAGTCCGATTATGTAATAAGTCGAGTTATGCACGTGAGGCTATCATGCAAATTATGCAAAAAGGATGTCATGCCAAAATTAATTAAACTAAATTAAAAATATTATGCAACGTGACATACAAAAAATTATATACATATATTTTAATTAAAAATCATAAATTATGCATATTAACATATTATGTACACATATGACTCAAATATAAAAACAAAAACTTAACATGTTAAACTATAAATTAAAAAAATGTATATACATAAATGTAATGACTAAATTTAAATGTACGCAAATTTAAATTTATAAATCAGAAATAAATCAGTGACCTAAACATAAAATACTAAACCAGCGACCTAAATATAAAATACGCATAAATTACAGGGTCTGATATAAAATTTATCCTATTCGGCTCAAACTAAAATAATATGAAAAATTACATAAATAATACCTACACATTCAAAAGAAATCAGAAAATTAAAACAAATAAAGAACTTCTTTAAAAGAATAATCTAAATTTCGAGGTCCCAAGAATGATTTATCCTAAAAAATATGGTGACTAAAAGTTAATTAACCCAAACTCCTAATATAAAGCCTAATTAAAAACCTAAACCTAAACTAAACTAAACTTAGCTGATCACTCTAGTCTCTTCACTCTCCCTTCGATAGCGTCTCTCTTCTCCCCTAACTCCATTTCTTCTTCACAAAAGGCGCTACTCTCCAAACACAACCATACGTGGCTGGCTACCCCAACCATCTTGGAAACGACGACCACCTTTTCCTATCTACTCCTCACAGCAGTCGCATCGGCCACCACCTTGATGGCCACTCCACTCGACGAAAACCATTCAACAAAGAGGAACACCCAAGCTAAGCCATATAAACCGAGAATCTCGTTTTTATCTTCTCACTCTCTCGACGAGGACCTTAGAAGCTCGTTGTCTTCACCCAACCGACTTATCAGATTTACGTCTCCGACGGTCGACCATGAAAACCAAAGGCAGAATATTACATAAACAAAGACACCATACACCTAAGGTAGGACTACCTTCTTCCCTTTATTTTTATATTTCCATTTCAAAGTACTCACGTACCCACACACAAACACCGTACACTATAGACTAAAACAGAATCGAATATTCTTAAGAAATTTCCATTGATTTTTATAGATATAGAAAAACACCTCAAATACAAAAATGAGTTTTAACACTTACCTTTCCTCTGTTACAAAAGAAAATGAAAAAGGAATTTGTTGTGTTGTCCTGCTTGTAAAAAAATGAAGGGAAAAGAAGATCCTTTGATTTCACTGACTTCAATTTGTCCCCCATTTTTCGTTGTTGATGATTTTTCTCCTTTGTTTGTTCACACTTCTCTCTCAAAATCTAGAGAAAGACCTCTCTCTTTTAATTTCTCTTTCGTTTACAACCCAAAACGGAAAAAAAATGTTTCCAAATGATGACCAAATGCTTTTTGAAACTGGTCCTTTCTTTTGGCTCAAAAACGGCAGTAATATAAAGAAGGAATTCCTTCGTTTTTTCTCTGATTCCCTGATTACCCCTTGTTGTCTCTTTCTTTTTTTCTTTTCCTCTCGTGATAACTGATCTTTCTCTGTCTCTCTGTGTGAAAACTTTTCTGGTTCTTCCTCCTTCAGAAAATGGTCTCCGTTTTGCTTTTTGTTCTGTGATGCTTGATAATCTTTCGAATGATTCCCCCCTTACGTTCTTACTGTGTGTTTTTTGTAACTGTCCAGTAGCTTTTTTTATCAAACCCCTCTAAAACTTTTTTTTGTCATCTCTCTCCCCCCCTTTTTTATTCTAGTGGTTAATTACAACCTAAAAACCGACCCTTACAGTTTTCTCATTGCTCACGTATCCCTCCTACGATCTAACTAATACATTTCTCTCCCCTCTTTTCTGCTTATTAACTTCCTATAGTTATTTTGGTTTCCATGAAATCTTCATGTGATAGAAGCTGCTCTGTTGGATTTGGGCTTCTAAATGGTTTGGGTTTTTCTTTAAGCCCATCGTTGCTTCGGATTTGCTCTAGTTAGGCCCTGGACAAAAACGAGCATCTACAACATATCAAACACGTAAAGCACTATATGAGTACAAGAGAGATCAACCCATGTGCTTTCAAAAAGATTTGCAACAATGGATTGATGAAAATTTTCATATGAAATTTAGTCAAGGTAAAATATCAAACACACTCAAGCGATCATCTGAGTACCTTTCGACTAACTTAGAAAAAGGAGGGGATACCAAGCGGCACAAACCTATAAAATATCCAGAGATAGAGAAGGTTCTTTATGAATGATTTCTCCAATACCAAGAACATGTAAACATGTCCGGAGATCTAATTTTGGAAAAGATAAGAGATATGTTGAAACTTCTATACCCTCAACAACCTCCTGAGTCATACAAATTTTCTAAAATCATATTTTACTCAGTTATCCTATTTATATTTGTAATTTTATATAATTATTAATTTATAATATTGAAGGGACCATAAATTTGTACAAGGGTCTTTAAAAAATTATTATCTTATTAATTTATCGAAATTATTAATTTAGACATCGAGCACAAGTCGAGACTAAGAAAAAATTATTATTTTAGAGAGGTTATTAATTTATCGAGTATTAATTTAGAGGTTCTATTGTATTTTCGATACTTTTTATATTTCATATTGATAATATATTTTTGTCTCCTTTTAAAATTGTATAAATTTGTCTCTCTTAAAAAATTGAAATCGATCCTAACATAAAATCTCACTCCATACATGTATATGCCTCTTTTATTCATGAACCAATGACCTCAATGGTAAAAGAATTGTTGTTATTTATTGAGGTCTCGAGTTCGAGCAGCATAAATGCTAAGGATGTGAGCGTTCAATGTTAATAGTTGAGAATTATTCTTGAACATATATTACTTTATACTTATCCCAGATTAATAAAAAAATTGTCTTCTTTAAGCCTCCATGCAATACATCAACTTTTCTATCACAGGGAAGTGTGGCTTTAACTGTTTGATGGATTTATTGTTATTTTTTTATGTTTCAAGTTTAAACGTTGTGTATGTAAATGTATGAACATTCATTGTTAAAAGGTTAATAATCATTGAACATATAATATTTTTTATTTATTCTAGATTTATCGGAAAAATAGATCAATGATAATGTTAGTAAGTATAATTTAATTTTTTGTGTAATTTAATAGTAAAAATATTATACAAACATTAGTGATTTTAGACGTATCCGATTTGTTCCGAATTCAGTTCCTCCCCTCAATGTTTCAAGTTTCAACTAGGCCCTCGCCCTCGACACTCCTTTTCTAAAACGCTGCTCCCTCGAAGCACTATAGCCAACAATGGAGGTCGCAACCGCCGCCGCATCAAGCTTCGCCGTCCACGCGCACATGCTATCACCACCAACTACCGGTCGATTTGCAAACCCCAACAGATCCTTAACGTCTTCTCCGTCGACTTCCCTCCGGGCTTCTCTCTCCACCAACTTCCTCTCTCCCTCTCGCGCCGTTGGAAGCGTCGCTGGAGATTTCTCTGGATTCAAGCTACGGCCCGACTCTCTCAACCCAGCTTATCTCTCCCGCTCCAAGCCCAAACGTGGAATCGTCACAATGGTACTTACAAATATTTTAATTTCATCTAAAATTACCTTACTTTGCTTATCTAGGGTTTTCAACCGGTTATTAGTAGTAAAGTAGGAAACTTTTATTTTATAATAATGCTGAATTATCCTTATTTCTAATCTTAATTCTTAATTGAAATTGGAGAATTATATGCAAGTTGAGTTCCCCATCTAAGACGGAGTTTGATAAACTATGAGATTAGAAAAGGAAACAATTGAGTTTTTTCCTATGTTTGCCTGGAATTTTGTGGATAGGTTATTATTATTAATTCTTATCTTAGTTCTTAGTGGTGTAGGCAGCCTTTATTTTAAATTAGTATCATATGACAGTTAAGTTGCCTTATCTAAGATTAAGTTCGATCAATTATGAGATTAGACAAGGGTGCAATTAAGTAAATTCATTTGTTATGTGTTCACCTGGAATTTTGTGGATAGGTTATTCCCTTTTCAAGGGGAAGTGCATGGGAGCAACCTCCACCGGACTTGGCATCATATTTATACAAGAATCGGATAGTTTACTTGGGAATGTCGCTTGTTCCTTCTGTCACAGAGTTGATACTGGCTGAGTTTCTTTACCTTCAGTATGAAGATGAGCAGAAGCCTATTTATTTGTACATAAATTCCACTGGAACAACCAAGGTATGATTTTCTTACTGGAAATTGACCGCATTCTAGAGCCATAAATGTAGTCTTTTCTGTGATTATTGGCATCGTAATTGGCATTGGATGCTAAAAGATTTCAAAGAAATGAAAGCTTTTGTGTAGATTTTCTTTTGCTTTATTATGATACTAAATTGTTGCATTTATTCGTTTCTTTTTTCTAACATTACTAATAGGATTTTTCACTTTTTTCAGGGTGGTGAGAAGCTGGGTTACGAGACTGAGGCTTTAGCAATATATGATGTTATGGGGTAATCATACTTTTCACTTTTTAACTCGTAACCTATTTCAGAATTGGCTTGTTTTATGAGCTGCACAATATATGCGTTCATTTAAGTGTTGGAATGATCTGAATTCTCTTCCTGGATTCAATGTGGTGGTTTCATTGTCAAACTCCAGCTGCATCAACTACTGATAAATAGTTAATGCATCATTCTTTGTGAATGACGATAGGGCCTTTAAACCTTCCACATTTCTATAGCAGTATTTTTGTTCTGTCATGACGAGGCCTAGCTACATGCAGATTTTCTCTTCTTAGACACTAAGTAGATACTACATGCTGTAGCCCGTAGGCATGGAAACATTTCTGAATGTGTAACATTCTACAAAACACTGTACATCCTCATCCTTCCTGGCTTTATCATTTTGTGGTTCTGAATACTTTCTTTTGCTGTAGGTATGTGAAACCTCCTATTTTTACTCTTTGTGTCGGTAATGCTTGGGGAGAAGCTGCATTACTTTTAGCTGCTGGTGCAACAGGGAATCGTTCTGCTCTTCCTTCATCTACAATAATGATAAGACAGGTTGGTTGTCGGACAGTGGATCTCTGATGCTCTAAACTATCAATTTTTTCAACTATGTTGGATGTTTGACATTAATGTTTATTCTTTACTTTTCCCTCTATCACTCTGCAGCCAATTGCTAGATTTCAAGGTCAAGCAACAGATGTTGACCTTGCAAGAAAAGAAGTTAAGAATGTGAAAACAGAGTTGGTAAGAAAATAATTTACTTGATTAAGGATTCTTGATAATACACCAAACTTAATTTCGAAAACTCCATGATCTTGTCTAAACAGCTTTGTGTTGGCTTGCTAAACTGTATACCGTATATATTGTTTATGAATTTACTCATTAAAGCTGACTTTACAAATTTTGCTATTGGATTTGCCTCCCTAATTTGGGCTAATAGAGCTGCATGCTTTTTTATATGCATTATACTCAAGGTTAAACTCTATGCAAAACACATGGGAAAATCAACTGAGCAGATTGAGGAAGATATAAGGCGTCCAAAATATTTTAGCCCCAGTGAAGCAGTTGAATATGGCATCATAGATAAGGTTATTTTAATTGGAAGTAGTTATTGTACTGTACTAGTTTTCATGCATTTCTGAACTACATTTTCCTACTTTTATTCTCTAGGTATTATACAATGAAAGGGGTACCGAAGATCGTGGTGTTGTTTCTGACCTTAAAAAGGCACAACTTATCTGACCAGGAATTTGATCAGGTAAAAATTATGTTTTTGCTTGAATTGTTTGATTCATTACATTGCACGTTTTGTGTTCTAGGCATTATAAGATACCATGATGTAGCTGTGTTTGTTATTTTCTGTGAAATCGTACCTCGCGACCGAAATGATTTACTTTATAAAGGTTTTGATTGGTAAACCGTGGATGACAAGAATAAATGTTCCCCCTTTTTTGGTAATAGCTTCTATAATATGTTTACTGCAGAAGTATAGGCTGCATTTAAAGGGTGACAAGAGAAGCTGAGAACTGTATGTGCTTTGTCGAGGAGCAATAGCAAGAAAAGCCATGGGAATGAGTCATGGTCATCATGGATATGTTGTCACATCCTTCTGTAGCATAAATTAAATTCAAGCTTGCTGCATTTGATTCTTATTTTTTAAGATTATGAGGTGTAATCTTAGATTTTTTAGTAAAATTATAATGTTTGATTCATCAATATTATGGGCAATTCGTATTAGTCAATTGATAAATTAAATAACCTTCATTTGTTTTAGTCAATTGGTAAATTAAATATCGACAATTGTAAAAAAAAAACTATCCAATATTTCAATACAATCAGGGGTTGCATGCCTGATGCTTAAGGCTTACAGCATTGCCAGCTCAAATATAATAATATAATTGTTTATGTAATAGAAAACCTAACATAATTAATAATATGTGAGAATTAATCAAAACTAAAACAAATTCTTGTACAAGAATGCATTCCATCAAAGTTATAAGTAATTTTAAGATTTCTCATTATCAATTTTTGCATTCCACTATTTTTTCAGACTTATGTAACAGCTACATCAAAATCCTAAATTGCATCATAAAAACTACAATTAGCCCCTCCTTCACATGCATCCTAGAAGCATTTTGCCAGAAAAGTTGCATTCTAAGACCGCCTGTGAATAACAAAATCATCAAATCATTTTGAGAATATTAATCCAAGCCAGCAAGGGATAGCATTGATCTAATCTTCAGAAGCATTAAGAATACCAGCATAAAGCGTATGCTGCAGTGCCTGCAAAAATCAGCAGCAGAAATATTAGCTACTGCTAACATGATCAAAGCTGCAACAGAGCACGTGTGCAGAAATAACATCCAGATTAAGCTTTATCTCAGGATCCTATCCGGTTAAAATCTCATGAACCAAATCCACATCAATCTGGTCCACAAATGAAGCAAGCTAAAATAGTTTATGCAGTGCTTTGAATCTATTTGAATCCTTGGGAGTTCAATTTACACAAAAAAGGACTTGCCATGGATTAGAACCAACTCTGAATTAGCATTAATGGACAATGACATGAAGGCAATTGTGCTACCATGATTATTGTGTAATTTCTGTGCCCAAAAGCTCTCACATATGATCTGTGTATTGATCAGAGTTTGTGCACAATGCACATCCACAAACAATATGTTTGCAAAAAACAATCACGAACAGCAATATCAAAACCAAAACAACAGTAATTTCATGTACACATACACAAAGCCCTAGCATGTTCATATTTAGCTATTAGTGTGAGAATAAGTACCTCGAACTTTTACAAGTTGTGAGGGGGAAAGATACATACAGTTCAAAAGGTCAGCTCTTCATTAGGTATCCAAAGAATTTATAGTGGCCTGCCTTAATACAGCCTACCAGTGCACTTTGAAGAGCCACAATAGCAACTTCTCTTTTTTATATCACCATTCTCATCATGAACCTGATCTACCATATAATTGTAATGGTAAGTCAGCTCTTGCAAGGGAGGAATATTCTCAGCAGCAAAGAGCATTATGTGTGGGATTCTCTTGTCATCATGATCATAAAGAACATTTTGTGCATACAAATTAGGTGAACAGCTATGGTTTAAGAACCTCCCCATATTGCCATACCGCACCGCATCAATGGTGAAACCACTGTCTTGAACAACTTGTTGGAAACTTGAATGTCCATCATGCATTAGTGTTGAAAGATCATTCCAGAGAGAACTATCACTGTAATTATTTCCTATATCAAACAGATACTCATCATGCCCTATTCTTTTTTCGGCTTCCCTATCCTCGATAAGCTCTCCAGTATACTCACAAATAAAACTTCCAGAGGGAATTGAATTTAGGGATCTAACACCCCATCCCTTTGATTTTGTTTTAAAGATTTCAAACTGAAATCTTATGCCATGTTGACTGACTCTATTGTAGCAAGAAGCAGGACACTTGCAACTAGGACCACATTCATAGACAAGGGGCTTAGGCACAACAATGGCACCATTATGGTTATATGGGATATCACCTCCATTTTTCATCACACATGAACATTTTGCAGATTGTGAACATCCATTGATACAATTGCAGCCTTTGGAAGGAATACAGTGGAACCAATCAGGATACATCATGCGAGGTACATACAGAAATGTAGGAGGTTTTTCAGCGTCTATGGTGTTTATAGCACAAATGGGAATTATCTCCTTGCCATTTGAGATATCATGTACACAGAGCCCTTCTCGCACTTTAGATTTCCTTACAACTCTCCACGCAATTTCTGGTTGACCTGGAATTCTAACCAGCTTAAATTTATACACCAGCTTACCATGTGGTCCTGGTTCCTGCTTAAACTCCTCCACCAAATAGAGTCCATCATAAACATATGCCTTACATCTACCTTCTAACAAGCCAGAAGACCTTGTTTCTCCACGAATCACCCTCACTGGATTTTTCACAACTTTACTATTTGCCAAAGCTAGGTTTCCTCTTTCAAGCTTCTGGTCTTCAGGTTGCTTACCTTTTTGCATCACATTTCCTCCTTGACCCATGTACCACAAGACATCAGAGTTATCCAAGTCATCTTCATAGCTCCCCGATGCTATAATACTAGTAGCAACAATCCTTTCACCCTGCTTTACATAATCTATACCAGCTTGAGATGGGCGATGAAGGCCAACAATATTGAGCTCAACAAAGTACTGAAATTCATCACCAACTTCAACACCAGGAACTGTTCCAATAATTGATTCGCCAGTGTTGACATAGTTCATTTTCTGTTTGAAAATCTTTACAGCAAGGTAATCCACCCTCCTATGACTCTTTCCTTTTCCCTTCAACTTTGATTCTTCTTCCTGTAAGATCATCCGACAGATGGCTTGGAATAGGCGTAATGCCTCTCTCACTTTGCTCCTACTAGTCATTTCATCATTATGATGAACTGTACTGATCTGGCAAGAAGGAAAACTCATATTATTATTACATGATCTCCGAGCAAAATTATCATTTGTGTATTGCCCATCCCGATGGAATGAGTCTTTCTCAGCCCAAATAACCACTTGGTTGAGTCCTTGGTGAGCCCGTTTCGTAGAAGAATTTTTCTTGATTTTAGCTCGTTGAAGCAACATGAAGCTCTTCTTTCTTTTTCTTTTAGAAGAACCACCAGACAAAGCAGGATTCAAGGAGACTTTCCCAGGCAACCGAGTAGAAGTCATGAGGCCTGGCACAATCCACCTGTCAGATAAAACTTCTTGCCTTTCGCGATCCTTCTCCAGCGCTTGATTCTCAAAGGCAGATGAATCAGAAAGCTTTGTCTGAAAATCCTTGTCCTCTGTTTCCTTTGACTTGCTATCAAATTCATTTGGAGAAGATCCAAAAGGAGATTTGCTGCTGTTTTCAAACATATTGTTCATTCCCTCCGTCTTATCATTCCTAGAAGAAGCTTCATATGCACCTTGCTTCTTTGTTTTTCCAGAAGCTGGCTTTTCTGGTTTATATCGAATGTCTTCTGTGGAGAGCATAGGAGCACAGCCTTCTGGTGTAGTTTCATCCTGAACAGCTTCTATCACCTGTTTCACATCAGTACATATGGTCTTTTCCAAGGGTTTTTCTTTCTTTACTAACATCAGTGAGTTGACATTCTTGTTCTTTAAAGAGGCAAGCCATTTCATGCGCCCCTCCTTACTGAGTGGTGGAACATTGTCTCCACAAAATGGAGGGAAGTCTCTCACAACAGTGGCTCCTCCCTGTGAATAATGCTTTCTTCCTAAAGTCTTCCTCAGACTGCTTTGATCAGGATAGGATTTCACACCACCTTTTGGAAAAATCTCCTTTTTTGAATTAGCAACATTCCCCTGAGGCAAATCCTTCTGCAAACCAGAAATTTCTTTTACTGAGTTTTCTGACACAAAAACTACCTTCCTCATTACTGCTTGCTCACCTCGAGCAGCCAGCCACCCACACCCTGGTGGAAAATCACGAATTGCATAAGCTCTACCATGCTTATACTTGGTAGAAGGGGCAGAGTGACCACTTTCAGTTCGCCTACTTTCCAAGAATCCCACAGGCTGACTACTACTTTCAACCATTGACGTTTATTATGCAGCAGGGTATTGGAAACAACCACCTCAACTCAGATCATAAAATGCACAAAAAAAACCCTAGATAAAACAACATAAATAACGTTATACTGCAATGAAGTCAAAGATCAAACAAAAACATAATCTAATTTCGTAACCATGAACATCGTAAAACTTAAAAAAACGTAAATAAAACTCATGGACGAGAGACCATTAGTTTCCAAAATCAACAGAAAGGTTAGTATCAACAATCAAATATCCAAACCACTAAAGAACCTAAAGCAATGCCCCGATACTAAAGATCATGCCAACTGAAACGTAGGAGAAAAAAGAAGAAAAAAACAAGCAGTAATTTCATGAAAAGGAAAACTCAAACTCCGTATTCAACCAAATAGTGTAATGATGCGTTCATAAATCTATATTCTTCCAAGTTCTTCAGCAACTGATTACAATAACAAAATATTTCTATATTTAAAGCTTTCCAGTAAACCAAACGGGACAAATAAACTCATATTCAACATGCATCAAAACTGGAAAAATAAATGAAAATCGGGGGGGGGGGGGATCTACTATAGAATGCAAAAAAAAAAACTTCACAACATTAACATTTAAAAAACACTAAAGGATTCTTAAATCTGGATCGAAATGATAGAAACCTAAAAAAGAGAGGAAAGAAAGAGAAGTTTACTCAGAAATCTTTGAGGAAGACGAAAGAGAAAAAATGGAACGGACGGGTACTGGGGAGAATAAGCGTGCAGTAGAATGAAATCAACGGTGAAGTTGAAAACTGAAAATGGAAGTTACTTTTTTTTTTAGCAAGTAGTGGAGAAGTGAAGGGACACATCGGAGATGTGTGCTTTCATTTACCCTTTTGCATATGAGTGAGCCAGAAGAAGAAAAGCTCCCGTATGCATAATGACTGGATTAGCTCCCGCCTCTATCCTTGTTTAAGACAATTAATGCTGCCTTTTATTATTATTTCTTTTCCAAAATGCTGGCATTAATACTGATTTGTTTAATTTTTATAATACGAAAATGAGGCCAAAATTAATATATCAGACTTTTACAAGCGTGTCATACTTATATTTATACAATAAATTTGTATACCAATTTTTGTCCGAATTTAAAAAATATTATTAATTATTATTATTAATTATTATCTACCACTATCCACTATTATAACATTAAAATAATTAAATCTACCCATTATCTACCATTACTCATTATAATAATCTACTTTAACCTACCACTACCCATTATTATAACATTAAAATAATCCAACCTACTCCACTATACTCATGATATCTCATCATTATCCACACAAAAAAACCCATAAAATCACATGCAGTAATCGGTGAGGAGAGAAAAACAAAACAAAAAAAAAAACATTCGAACGAAATAAATCAATGGTTCTCGAAAAATATTTTCTTCGGCGATAAGAATTTCCAATCGAGGATCCGAACGGTGAAAACTTGCGTAAGGCCAACACGAACAACATACTAAAAAATCAGGATGATCGGACGGTGGATGGTGACGAATTAAAGTAAAGATAGTCGAATGAATTTTTCCTGTTTTACATCGATCAGAGCATACCCAGGCGATTTGGACCTCTGATCTGGGCTCCTCTCATCCAGGCGAAGCTGCTAGTGTATTTAGTTCATCGACAGTGACGACGATGACTGACCGACAATGACCACAGAAAGCACATAGCCTAGAGGTGATTGTCTGTGGAGTGAAATGAAAAGTTGGCTTTTGGTTCTTAAATTGTCTGTTTAAAATAGAATAAGCTGACGTCACATAAGATTTTGGGTAAACTTTCCCCTTCAGTCCTTCACAGCCTCGCTTGGCTTAATGGCTTCAATTTTTTGCCCTTTTATAAATATACTAGTATATATTTTGCTCTCACTCAAACCAACAAAGTTGCAGCAGAAGGCTTTCTGCAGTAGAATGGACTTCTTTCGCCGGAGATCAACGCTTCCTTCTGGATTTATTTCATTCATTTTCTTATTTATGTTTTTATTTATTGGTTAAACAAGCAGCAGCTTCCTTATCATAATTCAAGAATCTGAATAGAATTATCCTCGTGGACACAATCAGACCTTAGCTACGAGGTTAAGTTCATAGAGTGAGTAACATATTCCAATTTCATATCCGGAGTCTGGTCATAATTTCTCAAATAAGTAACTCTCACGTTACTCGTGAGGCGTTTTATCGAATTTGGACGAACATTGATGGGATTTCCTTTTTGCACAAGTCGAGCTCTAATGGATAAAAAACTTAGGTATACTTATTGCATATAGAGGATTACATATTGGAGTTTAGGCTCAGAGAAGTACGATTATAATCTAGGGGCATGTATTGACCACACATCTTATGACAGTCGACCGACCAGTCTACCTAGAAGGACTTGACTCAACCTAAGGCTTTGATACCATTAAATGTAACACTCTTAGACCGATACGGGTAGCCCGATCTGATCCAAGGTGTCACATTGGGGTCACCGGAGCGACCCACAATAACAATCTAGGAAAATTTAAAAAAATTATAACATGTAAAATCATAAAACAATTTATAAATCAAATAAAAGTTAATAAAAACCATTCATATATTACAAACATAATTAAAATCATACAAGTTCCAGACTCAATATAAAAAATCAAATGTGATCTACATGTCCCTAATTACACATTATATTGTACTCTACAAGTAAACCGAAGGAACTCCCATTCTGATGTCGATAGATGCACTGGATCGATTCTTTTAACTTAAAATGGTGAGTAAAAGAGTGAGCTTTGGGAAGCTCAACAATACATAACTACTAGATGATGCTAAAGGACATGCAGATAAGTGGCAAGCATAAAATTTCATTATTAATTCAGGCATCTACAGGTTTTCGTGATGAGTTAAGGTTCCACTGATATTTCTTCAAGTAAAAGACAGGAAGTTTACCGTTCAGAGGAAACGTTCAGAGGACCAGGTTCAAGAGATTGAAAACATACATCTAGTGCGTTCCTTGAAAACCATAATAAAACGTAATCATAGTTTAAAAATAGTAGTAGTTTATTTCAACAAAATAGTTAAAAATCACTATAGTACCCTCCCCCGAACACTCCATATGAAATACCTAAGAACATGCATCCATAAAGACTTACCCTATATCCCTAGGATCTAGGAATCTCATATGGGATATCAGAACATAAAGGAATTACCTTCTAGTTGAACCTCAAAGTCTACAGACACCTACATAGACAATACCCCACTATAAATCAGTTTAACAATAACAAGTAATATCAGAGATCAGAAGCCAGATATATCATATATTAGAAAATAGAAATCGAGTTTTTTATTTAAAACACAAAGTTACCCTTCAACCTTACACCAAATGTAGTACCCCAATACATGTATCTATAAGGACTTACCATAGACCTTAAGATATAGGAGTCCACTATGGAAGATCATAAAAGAAAAGAATTACTAGCTAGCTAAACCTCAGAGTCTCCAGACACCTACCCATATAATACCCAATAAAACAGATCAGATAGCAGACAGTAATATCAGAAATCAGGAGCCAATTGTACCTTGTGTCAGAAACCAGATATCAGAAATCGTACTTTATATAAATCAGAGAAAACATTCTTGTCCATAGGGAACACACTAGAGGATCTATGTATTTTTTGAAGGCACTTCGAAGTTGACTTTTACCTTTTTGATACTTAAATGATTGATATTTTAACCATGGGTACTCAGATTTTGAAATTGAAATTAAACACAAATCCTGACTTAAATTAAGTTGGGTTTTCTAAATTAAACTTATGATTACTTTACTTTAATAATTACATTAGAAATTTAATATATTTAAGTCTTTAATAAAATTAATTGAAACTTTATGATTTGGTCCTTAAAAATAATGTTTTTACAATTCCTATCAATTAAGAACTCTGGTTGAAAGTAAAATTTGACACGATATAAATTGAATTTTGGTGACATTAATTTTGTGTTTTAACATGATTTATGAAAGCATTTTAAGAAAAGTTGAAATACCCATGTGCTCGTATTTATTTGATTGGCTTAGTTAGAAAGCATAATTTAGGCTGATTGTCCACTATGATGTATGTTTTAAATTATGAGTGCTTCAGCTGATTTGTGCATGATGAATAAATGTATATATGAAATGAGCTTTTGCATGTTTCTACTTTGACCACTCCAGTGACTAATGTAACATCTGATATCTACTATGTATGTTTTAAATTGAATGCTTCAGCTGATGTGTACATGATGAATAAATGTATAAATGCTTCATTCCAGTAGCCAAGCAATCGTTCCTTCTTTTTCCCCCAAAAAACTGCAGATTTCAGAATGAACATACTTCAACCATCACATATGTGTCAAAACTCACATGTATCATGCTTCATAACATCAATTTAACATTTCAACATGCTCTGATCATCAAAATTCTGATTATACTATTTTAGTTGCATTTTAGTAACTCCTATAGTCATGTCTTACATTTTAGGCTTCTTACCTATTCTAACAAGTTAAACATACCAAATTCATGCTATATGACATGTCCAAATCAAACGAAACACCAAACATCAAAATTTGGCCAATCAAGGTCTAGAACAAGCTTGACTCTTCCTATAGGAAAAAAATCACTCACCATTCATCAATTGTAAAGCACACTCATTATGATTCATCATTGCAGAGCTACAAGTTAGTTAATCCACAGTCTTATCAACCGTTAATAGCCACAGAAAACATATCCAAACCAGGACACAAGTTTTATGGCGAAGTTTCAGGTTCAGAGTTACAGCAGGGCAAGGAAAGTTAGCAGAAAATAAGAGCACTGAGAAAGCACTAATATTTTAAAACTCCTTTTAACATCAAAGAAGAAGATGCTGAAAGAAAAGACATTCCTAATCTCCACTTGCACAGCCTTTGCATCCACAATGAACGCATTCAATAACCTTTTCTTCCCTCAAGTGCTTCGGAACACGGCAAACACAAGTTGTTGCAAAGTTGTGATCCCTTGGTTGAATGCAACGTAAGCAACACAAACGTTCATATCCTGGCTGCAATAAATAAGACTCAAAAAACAATTAAAAAAACTGCTACAACAAAAAGAAATTTAAAACTCAAAAAGACCAAGCACATGAGAGAAGGAAGAAAATACAACTGTCTGATATGTGAATGTATGTAATGTACATATATATGTCCATCTATATCTAAGCACACATTCAACACATTAAATGATCTCTGAGATGTTTCAAATAGAAAAACCAACCTCTGATGTGAAATAATTGATCAAATAGTCAAACACAAGAAGTCTATAAAACATTAGATGGATCTGCTTAACAGTATTAGAAAATTGCCATAGTATTTGATTATGAAACCCAAAACCAATTTGTCTAATTATCTATGACCCCATCGGTTCCAGAAAAACAATGAAATGCTATATTCCTAGAACATATGTTAATATTTGTTGGTTTGCTCAACAATACAAATACATTCACATACAATATACATGCAATTCCCATATAACAAGTAGACGAGCAGGGACAAAGCGACAAACCTTCTTCCATTTTGCAATAAGATTGCGGTCAGCATATCCTTGGTCCAAACAGAACTCGTACAATTCCTTAGATATTTCCTTCCGGCGGTGGTAAAGGTCGAAAATATAGCGGCTCTTTTGATGGGCAATTTTGAAAATGGGCCACAATGTCTCACATTTTCTCTTGCCATCGTGAGGATCATTCTCAGCTATCCAATCAGTTAACAAATTAGTTCATAACAATGATAAAATAAGAGTTTCAATAATCAAAGTAGAACACATAGATGATGCAGAAAAAATCTACCTTCTCTCATCTTTGCTTGTAGCTCACGAAGCGTCGGCTCAATCAATTCCCATCCTTCTGGATATTTTACACGGTTTGTCTTCACCTTCGGCATTGTTCTACCTATGAACACCACAAAAGCTTAATTAATTTTCAGAGCGACAGGATATTACTGACAATTTCGAAATTCCTACGGTTTTACACAAGGAATTAAAGTTCACACCGGAATCGGGTAAAATCCTAGTTTAGTTTTCCTACAAGAATTCTATTGAATGGGTAAACAAAAAGGAGAGAGTCAGAGGACTACTCACTTACGGATCTTGGTATGCGAGGAAGATGGAATGGGCAATCGTGTATTGAGATTTCAATCGAACCCTAAATAGATTGTTGATGGGCGGTATTTTTGCTTCGATTTTGCAGGGGATTAGGATTGACAAAACTGCGAGCCCGACGCGAAATAAAGAGGGGGGATCCGGAGAAGTTCCACGCGCGCAGCAATTGCACGTAAATAGAAACGGTGTGGCCTGGGCCTGAAGATAATATATTATAATACGATAACAATAGGTTCAATGGCCCAACAATATAAGAAGTTAGAGAGTGTTTGTTTGGCTCTCAATGAAATTATTCAGCGCTGAATGTTGAATCATTCAGCGCTGAATGTTGAACTATTCAACATTCAGCGCGTTTGTTTCGCACTTCTGAAATGATTCAGTGCTGACTGATTCAGCAAAACAGTGATGAATGATTCAGCACAGAATTACATTCTGAATTCTTCAGAGTCATTATCAAACAACATATCACATTCAGAGCTAATTCATATAGAGTCTCTGAATCATTCAGCGCTTAATCATTCTGAAGTAAACAAACAACCCCTTAGTGTTGTGTGGCATTTTCATGCATAAACTTTTTAATCACATTAATTATTTGTAGTTATAAATCCAACTTACATAATAATCAATCTATTAAAAAATTTCTAATTTTATTCTAACACTAATGAAAGATATAGTTATGGACGGGCTGAATGTGTGATACTCTGTATCATAAGGAATTTATCTCGCACCACAGTTCGATATGTAAGCCTTTGATTTTATTATGGATCTCATTATTTAGAGCCTTTTATTCAGAGCTTGCATGCATGTCCTCAACCATTCGGCGAACCTCTTGTCATACAGTCTGCTCAAGAATCTTTCTTAAGGAAGCTTTCCTTGCTTGCGCTTGAACAATCAAAGCGAGAGAGAAGGATAACCAACATTAGGATCTTGGGGCAAGAAGTTCCACAGACTCATCATTTTTAGTTTGGGAGGAGAGTCGTTGGCCGGTGTTAAATAATTTGCCTCCGTAAGAGGTAGAATGGAGACAAGAGAGGATGAAATGATTTCATCTAGGTTTTCATTATTTCTCACCGTCTTGGTCGAATTTTTTTTATAGTGATCTTTTGAACTGGTACTGAGTGTAAGCTCATTATGAGGACATGAGTGATGGCAGGTTAGATAGATATGATCAGTTGTTGCAGGCGTTTTCTCGAGCTGCAATTTGTAGTTTCGGATCCTACGTTCTTCATATCAGGAGAGAAACCTTACATAGAACAAAGCTTTTCTCCCAAATTCCCTTAATTTTTCCATTCCCTATTTCACCTTTAGCCTGTACTGTTCTTCTAAACTCAAACATGAAATTTATAAAAGAAATTCATTCACATAATTGATTATCTATTTCTAGCAATACCAACTAATAGACAATAAACAAATCACAAATGAAAGAATTTGCAACTTTTCGCATTGCGTTGGGCATTATTATTTGCAACTTTTCGCATTGCGTTGGGCCGTATTCGTTGCCATTAAAGAAAAGCTCCTAAACATTAAAATATTCAAGGGATTTAAATATCAATTGTTGAAACTCGTTCAGGAAAGCATAATATTAATTACCAATAAAAGGTAATACAAAATGAATAAAATTCTTAGCTTGCTTTGAAATCTATGTATTTTCAAATGCAAGTTACCCACTTAATAGTTATAATAGAAAATACCTCGGATCAATCTGAATGACAATATTAGTAGGTGTCGCGGGCGTCTTTTGGGTGGGTCTGGAATTGGGCGGGTCTAGAATTGGGCTTCGACTTAAAAAAATGTGTTAAAGTCGCCACTGATCATTTTAAAAACATTTAGGTGGATCGGACACCATCTTACCTGATTTGTGTTTTACTAGAAATGTGTCGGGCTCGTGAGTCGGTTACAGTCAATGAATGATTAGCACCCTTGTACTGCCCTTTCGGTACCAATTAATTTGTCGATTGTCTTAATTGCTAAAATTTAAAAAATTGAAATTAAAATTTAGAAACCCGACTTAAATTGCTTACCTTTGATTGGTTGGAATTCCTCTAAAAAGTAAAAAATGTTAGATAAAAAAATAATAAAAAATACTAAATAAATCAAAGGGAAAAAATAAAATAAAAACATAAAAATTAAAAATAAATCAAAGAAAAAAAATATTAAATAAATTAAAGGGGAAAATAAATTAAAAATTAAAAAAGTTAAATTTTAAAAGAAATAAAATAAAAACAATATGAAGTAAAAAAATCATAATAATTTAAAAAAAAATAAAAAAAATAAAAATTGAATGGATCAAATTGAAACAAATTGAAATTAATGGATTAAATTGGTACTAAAAATGAGATGCAAGAGAAAAATAAAGAGTTAGAGGGGTTAAATTGCAAAAAAAATTAATTATAAATAGGGACCGAATTGAATAAATTGAATATTCAGAGGCCAAATTGAACACAGTGACCAAAATGAATTACACTACAAAGATGGAGGGACTGCGAAAAAAATTTGACTACTGGTTAATTGCACACAAGTCCCTCATCTACAAATAGCCTAAAACCCCAAAAAAATCATTTTTACCCATTCTTCAAAAAAAAATTTCAAGCCTCCAAAAAATCCTCTCAACTATCCCCGGCCAAGTGGCCGGCCACCGCCCGATGGCCACTCGCAGCTCCGGCCGCCGAAAAAATCAAAACCCCCAAAATACTCTCCTTAACACCTTTAAACCAAAATCGAACCCCCAAATCCCCTAAAAACCTTCAAATGTCGTAGATCTACCCTTAAAGTTTCGATCTTTACCTCTTTCGACGATGGTTTTCAAAACCCGACGACCGTTCCTCCCTCTGAGCCACAACCTACGCTTCTCCTTCCCCTTTTTTTTCGAGTGGTTGCATTTGTTATTGTTGGTTTTCTCTGTTTTTTGTGTGTTGTTGCTTGGTTTTTCTTTGGTGTTTGGCTTTTTGTTGTATTCCACTTGTTCGGTCGAATTTTGTTGTGGTTTTATTGGTTGTGGTTTTGGCTCCGTTGATTATGTGTTTGGTTGCCCAATGATTGTTGTTTGTGGTTCTTCGATATGTGATTACGTGGTTCGATTGGTGATCATTTTGTCGTGGTTTGGTAAGGGTATTTATACCCCTCCATTGGTGGCCATTTCTGATGATATCAGGATCATTCCCGGTTATCTTGTTATGGGTTGACCAAAAACCCCGGGATGGTGTAGTCTCGAGTTCTTCGGCCGGACATTTCGGTCGGTTTCCATTGTGGGCGGTGGCGCTGAGACTAAAGTAGTGAAACCCTAAATTTTAGGCTCATCGGGTCGGGTTTAGTGACCTGCTGGGTCAGGCAGGTCTGAACCTTGATTTGGGTAGCCCATACTCTTGTTGGACCTGGAGTTGGACCTGAAAAGGAAAAAATAAATAAATAAATAAATAATAAATAAATAATTAAAAAAACAAATATATATTATATAATTTCTAAAATGTTTTCAAAACTTCAAAAACATTTTCAAAACTATATATTATATATATTTAAAAAAATGTTTTCAAAAACTATATATTATATATATTTTAAAAATGTTTTCAAAAACTATATATTGTATATATTTTCAAAATGTTTTTTAAAAACTACATATTATATAAGTTTTCAAAATGTCTTAAAAACTATATATTATATATAAATATATATATATATATATATTCAAAAATCGATTTTTAAAAAACCAAAAGAAAAAAAAGAAAAAAGAAAACTTTCAAAAACTATATGATAATATTATATATAAAAATCTCCGGACGAAAATGAGTGTCTACAATAGGTTAACATTCAGTTCAGACGATTATCATTTTTAGCAATAAAGGACGAGTTTGAAATATATAAACATTCAGATGACCATTTTGTAAGTTTTAATAATTGTGAGACTCAACAAAATAGAACTCTATAGCCAGAAGATCATTTTACAACTTTTAATAATTAGGGACTCAATAAAGTAATACTCTATGTTCAATGGACCATTTGTGTAATTTTCCCTTTTCACTTCTAAATCCATTTAATCATTACTGAAGAGTCAATTCTATTTCAATCATTAAATAAAAATAAAAATTAATATAACATTTTCATCATATACTATACTTTTTATATATTAAAATTATTAAAATTGAGTAATATATTAATTTTTTTTTAAAGATATATACTTATATTCAATATCAATATTAAGATAGGTAAAATATGACTCGACTTGAAATAAATCAAATTTTTTTATTTTAGATAATATATATATATATATATATAAAAGAGAAACAGAAAACTGCTACAAAACCTATACAAAATAATAATTTTATTCTTAACACTCTATGCTATGTTGTGAGTCCAGTTTCAGTCTATCTATACCCTTGCAGCCCTTGCCAAGTAATTTCACGGAACAATCTCCTTAATACACTTGAGGATCTGCGGGGCCCCCATTTTTAAAGACATTATTAAAACATCTTATGTTCCTTTCTTCTTAAATAAATTAGACAAAAATATTTCACACAATTTAAAGAAGAGAAAATAATCTCAGTGACCAAAAATGCCTTATAATATACGATTTTAACCAACTTTTTTTGGATTTGCCAAAATGACCAACTAAATCGCAATGCGATCGATAATTCGCAACGCGGTCTCCGGTATCGCAAATCAGTTTCCAGATTCGCAACGCGATTCTGACTATCGCATTGTGATTTCCCAAATTCGCGTTGCGATTTTCCTAATTCGCAACGCGATTACGTAAATCGCAACGCGATTACGTAAATCGCAACGCGATTACGTAACGTAAATCGCAACGCGATTACGTAAATCGCAACGCGGATACGTATTCGCGTTGCGATTTAGTAAATCGCAACGAGATTCTGACTATCGCAATACTGAATTTCAAATTCGCAACTCGATTTCTGAATTCGCAACAGGTTTTAATTTCGCAAAACAAATGTTTTGGGTATATAACTACGCAGCAGCAGCAACTCATAACCTAAATCCCTAAATCGCAACTCATTCCATCTCCATCTATCACTCTCTCCGACGACATCCGTTCCTATATCCAACGACATCCTTCCCCATCCGGCAACAGGTTTTAGTTTCGCAGCTCATTTGTTTAGTATTAATTTACAATAATGAAATC